TCTCCATAGTGCATCTCATTCTATGAGCTACCCGGTATGGACCATTTTTACCTCTGCATGACTCAAAATGCCCCCTGCAAATAGCAGAGTCCCGCTATGAGGAAAGGCTTGGCTACAGGGCCCACTCTGAGACTGGTGGTGACCACTGCTGTTATCAATGATAAACTTATATCTAGTCACTCGATACCTCTAGTCCTGATGAACCAGACCACCTAACGACCTCACAGTTTTTATATGTAAGGGTAGCAGAAAAATCAGGATTGGATGAAGGATGAAACTGACATTTTGTCATTTGTTGTATCAAATGAGTGATCTCATTTCTTTTCTCCAACCAGTATTTATCTAGTGCCTAGTGTGTGTCTTTTAGGCACCAGGACACAGCAGTGAACAAGATACATGAGAAGTCCTGCCCGCATGGAGCTTACATTCTATGGGAACCTGGGGGCTGTGGCACACCGAATGAATGAGTTGTTGATCAGGAGCTGCGAGAGGAAGCTGAACACGGTAGGGAGGGTGGGACATATCAGCTTCTTACATAGCCGAGTTGGAGCAGGCCTTGCTGAAGGGCGGCGGTGAAGTGAAGATGAGTAGGCAGTGAAGAGCAGAAGGAACAACTTATACAAAGGCCCTGAGGCCAGAGGCTGCCTGGTAACTAGGTGGCCCCGCCTGTGGTCAAGGACGTACTGGTTCAGGACAGGCTTTGTAAAATCTTGGCTCTTACTAAATCGTGGAAACTGTGTTCTCATGGAAAACTATCCTCCAGAATGTGGAGACAGATTCTACAATGGCTGATTTCACTGCTTTGGTTTTGAGCAGATTCCATTTATATTCACCCTTACAACCAACTGATATTCCTCACCTTCTGTTAAACAGAATATGCATGTATATACATACATATGCATGTATAAGCACACATCTTTGAGATATTCTCGGGAGGAACAACATACAGCAGTGTGCATCATTTCATTTATATATAATTAGGGTTTGTGATCTTTTTAAAAAAATTTTAAACTAAAATAGTAAACATCCAAATTTTAATGAATTACTCTGCCTTATTAGAAAGGGTCATGTTTGGGAATAATGGCTTCCGTGTGTGTCCTGTAATTACATGTTACACACACATATAGACCATGCACTCTTGCAGATCCTCAGGCATCTCTGTAGGGTGACTCCCTCACTCCTCTCTACGCAGTGGAGGGGGAGGAGGGCTGGCTTTTTGGGGAAAAGCATCAGCCTGTGTGCTGCGGATTTACCTCACCCTTCGCTGGAAACTCTCACAGATGATCTTGTCTGTTGTTGGGAGTTGTCCTGAGAATCCTGGTCTTCTTTAGAGACATTCTTCACAGAGGAGGTCTGGGATGGACCCCTCCCAGCATCCCTGTAGAGTACAGAGCCTCTAGGATGATCTACCTGGCCCCAGCCCTGTGAGAGCAAGGTTAGGTTCTGAGAACACTTCAGAACCAGGCTTTAGGTCAACAGAACCGGCGCTGCCCCATAGGCCTGGGTAATAGGGAGGATCTGAAGGCAGCAAGAAGGAAGTGGGGGTCTCTGCCCTGAAGACCTGCATCCACATGGATTAGCAAAGAGAGGCAGGGTTCTCAGAGGTCTGGAGAGCTGCTATGTAAGGCTTTTGGGAAGGGACTGCCTGTTTCCTGGGGCCAGGGGTACTGGCTACCTTCAGATTTCTCACATGTGCTTCTCTTCAAAGGACAAGAGCAGGAAACTCCAAGAGCTAAAACCTGGGTCATTCTTTTATCTCACGTGGATTAAGGCCAGAGTTAGCTCACTCAGTTACCAAAATACTTTCTCACTCATTAGAAGCCTTGGAGGAAAAGAAGATGGGAGGAACTGATATGCAGAGTCCTTCCTATGACCAGGGGCAAGCAGCCTGTCACAAAGAAACCTCAAACAGGAGGAAGGTGCCCTGAGCTTTACTCCAAGCCTTGATATGAACAATGAAGCCCCACACAGTGGAACTCTGACTCTCTCTCTTTTCTGTCTTTCTCAAATTTCCCAGCACCAATGTCTACAACCCTGCCTACCTTCTTGTTATTTTTTTCAATCAATGTGGAATATATTTCGATGGGAAAGGTCTGATTTTACAGTTAGAAGAGTTTGCAAAATAAACTTACAGATGCTAAGGGAGGGCCTTGCTACAGCTGGCTCTGCCCAGAGCCTTGGGGCATGTACTGACTTCATGGCGGGGGAGGGGGGAATGGGGTGGGGGGGGACAGACACTCTACACCCTGAGGCCTGCACTGGGGTGGCTCTTTCATCTTCTGTTATACTGAGACACTCATGACAATACGCTACCAGAATTTGCAAGTTATTTTGGATACCGTTAAATTTGGAAAACAATAGGTTCAAATGGCACTGGGTACTAAGTGGTAAGGAAGGGGACAGAGTAACTTAGGGACAAAATTTTTCATCGATAAGAAAGATGCAGCACCAGGAACCCATACACAGAAGAAAAAAAAAACCAAACTAAATGCTCAGTCAAAACAGAGAAGACATTTACTGGTCCCAGTGTCAGAGGGTCCACACAAAGGTGCTGAGACTCCACTATCCCACAGCGCAGCCCCGCCCACCCCGGTTCACTCTTCCGAGGGACAACCCTGTGAAAAGAGGGATGCAAGGCATTGCTCTGTGGCATGTTCTGAGAGTCGTATAAAAAGAACTTGTGTAGTACAGTTTAAAGTTGGCCTATAAAACTTGAACGTAACAGTGCATAAAGTCTATAAACAGAGTACACTGAAAATCTACTTCCCTTGCCAAAGTAATAAAAATCATCCCTAGGCAGTGCCTGGGAAGGAAACGTGAACTTCTGAAATAATCTCCACAGGGCTTAGAAATATCAGTTCTTCTGGACATTTACTGTTGCTTAGAGACACCCATCTCTCTCGGAAAGTCTGGCCGGATCAGATGGGGAGCACTGCTCACTACTGGCTTGGGCAGTGTCTCTCAACACATCAGTTGGGACTAGGTCTTGGGGAATTTGGTCTATGTGTTCCTGTCTCCAGCCACCAGGCATGGCCAGGGAGCACAGTATCCATCTATTTTAAGAACACGAGGCAGGCTGCAGCACACAGAAACAGGATGTACACACTACACTGGCCTCTCTCATTTTTAATACTACACCGAAGCTGCTTTTCTCTCCAAAGGCAATGGCTACTCTTAACCACGTGCACTGTTTGGAGCAGGCCCCAACCGCTGCTCCACCTTGTCTAGCCCAATGAGACCAAGTTGAGAGGCTGGGGCCTTTTATTCAGCCAGGATCTCAAGTCTGCAGTCTGGGTCTCTGCCCCAGACTCTTCTGCATGGCACATTCATCATTAGGCGGGGGAGGAGAAGTAACTTGGCACTGAAGGAGATAGAATCTGCTGTCATACTTCAAGAGTACATAATCATTACCCTGTTTGGGAGGGTTTATTACAACGAACTACTTTAATTCTCAGTCTGTTCTATTTATTATTATTTTTTTTTCTGGCAGAATGCATGAGAAAGATGAAGGATTTGCATAGCCAGTTTTGGAAATTTCTTGTTGGTTGTTTAACATCACAGTACGAGAAAGGCAAGCGTGAATATCCGCCCCCTGTGTCTGCGCACTGGGCTTCTGAATACACGCTGAAACATTAGGCGGGTGCTCTGAGGGATGAGGCATGAGCTACAGCAGCCCACTTTGCTGGAAGCAGAGGCTTCTGTGACCTACAGCGCTGGAGGATGAGAGAGCTGTTCAGGTGATGTGTTCAAAAGAAACCAGGCTCCCCCCCCCCCAAAAGCTGCCACAAACCCTCTCAGTGAGAGACTTTTCTGAGAATATTTTTTTTTTCTTCTGAGTAACAAAAGAAACCCCAGTACTATCAGGGTCACGAATATTAGTTATTACCACACACTTAAAGCATCTTGTTCAACACGAAAATAAAACTTTGAAAAAACTTCTTAAAGAGTCTATTTAATAAATAATTTTGATTTAAGGAACCACTTTATGCAAAACTTGAATACATTACTGAAAACTCCACAGGCTGTGGAATAATTAAAAACAAAAAGGAATTACTCACAGGAGATACTCAGTTATTTTATTATCATTTTCCAAACAGGTAAAAAAAATTCCCTCCCCATTTTTTTTGAAAACTTTTATTTTTCCTTTTTTGCTCTTGCTGCTCTGGATGTCACGGGATGAAACATGCTTTCAGGAGGAGAGGCTGGCTCCAGTGAAGGTGGGGCCCATCTCCTGCACTCTCTGAGGGGAAGCAGGTGCTTTCTCCTGTTTTAGGGTTATAGGGGGCTGGTCTAAAGCTCTCACAGGTATGAAAGTATTGTTTCGTTAGCGAGGATTTTACCCATCTTCTCCATGTTTCCTGGAAGCAAGCTTGCTCTTTAGTGAGGCAGGCTAGCCCCTCGGTGTCCTTGGTCAAGAACAGTGGTCTGCAGAGGTAATCTTGAAGGAAGAGGCTGCATATTGCTGCTCAAAATAGGGTAGCTAAGGACACATTATTATTTTTTTTAATTTTCCTCAAGAAATGTAGGAGGCACCAGAAAGGAGACTGCTCAGAGATTGGGCTGCTCCCTCAATGTGGCATGGAGCCAGGAGCAGGGCCACCTGCCCCGTGAAGGGTCTCCACCAGCAGAGAGCCCTTTAACCTGGCTGAACCCTGACAGATGCAGGTGGAGAAGGGGTGGTTTCCTCCCGGCTCTCTCTCAGCCCCTACCTTACGGAAGGAGGTCAGGCTGGGTTCAAATCAGCCCACTTTGGGGCTGGCACAGTGACCAAGGGGTCAATTCTGTCCCCTCCTCTGGGGCACGGGTGTGATATCACCTCCTAAGGGGCCCTCCAGCGACAGTCCACTGTACATATGTCTTCAAAGGAGACACGAGCAACCTGTCACTCTGGCTCATAGGTGGACCAATACGAGCATGAGTTCAGGACCCTGTTTCTTTTGCACCCCCAAGTGTCTCTGGGAAGTTCCTGTCACCGGAGCTGCTCTGCACTGGAGCGATCGCTACACCTCACCGTGCCCTGAGAGGTAGGTTGTCCGGTGCCCATTCTGTGGTCGCCCGCGGCTTGGATGGCAGTGTGAATGTTGCTCGAGCCGGGGGCTGTGGGAGGATTTGCTTATGAGATGGAGCTGGGGAGTCCTAAGGGGCCAGCGTCAGCGGGTAGCAAAGTGCCTGCTGGAGGTCTTCAGGGACCCAGGTGGGAAGAATAGGAGCCGCAGAGGTGGCTCCCCCTCAGGCCTGGCTGCGCGTTTGTTTCTAAACCCTGCGTGCTATCAACTGCACGCAAGTGACCGCTACTTGGAAGAGGCCAGTCCCTAGGTTGGGGGCGGGGGAAGCATGTAAAACACTCCCTTCTAAAAACAAAGGGCTGCGATTTTCTTTATTTCTCGTATAGAGGAACAAAAATACTCTTGCAATGGCTATTGAGTTTCCACAGGTACGAGGCAGATGCTAGGCTAGCACACCCACTTCCAACAGTATGACTTGTTTCCTATCCGTCTACTACCTGAGTGGCATCAGTGTAGGTTCAGGCACCATTAGGAACGTTTGACCAAACACGTACACGGCACTGACCGAGGAGGAGGCGCCGGCCCTTC